AAATTATTGCTATTCCCAAGGTCAGAAAATCATTCACCTATATTTTCACTGAAAAGTTATAGTTTTGCTTTTGACATTGAAATTCCTCTTTCAGTTGGAATTCATATTGATGTGTGGTATGAGGTAAGGATCCTTTTTTTTTCCATTTGCATAGCCAGTTTTTGTAGCTCTACTTTATTTTCTCACTTGGTCTGCTATGCCACCTCTAGCATGTATCAACATTTCATGTATGTGTGCAGCTGTTCCTTAACTCTCAATTTCATCCTCTTGGTTACTTTGTCTAACCCAGCACTCATACTTTTTAAATTGTTATGGCTACCTTGTAGGGCAAGAATCCTTACTTTTATTCAGCTTCTTTTGAAGTGTCTTGATACATATTTTTTCTGATCTTACTTGGCCATATATATTTTGGGGACAGATGTGACATCATACCAAGCTTTCTTTGCTTGACATTGTGGGTATTTTCTTATTCATTAATGTGCTAAAAATTTTGAGTTGGTCTTACAGTCTTTTATATGGATCTTATACATTGTTTCCCTGTTGTTAACCATTCAGGCTGTTACTAGTTTTTGCTGTTATGAATTAACACCAGGACAAATATCCATATATCTTTTGAATTCATTACTGACTAGTATCCTAGGAGAGATATTAAAATATGAATATTAAAGGTCTTGCTGAATACAGTTTTCCAGAATGGTTGTACCGATGTATAATTCCATTTTCATTATGTAGAAAAAAATACCTCAGTGCTTTCTAACCACCTTTGGTTAGAACATTCAAGAGGTTATGATTTTGTTAGGTAAGAAATACTTTGTTTCAATGTAGGTTTTCTTTGAACCTTTTTGTATGTATCAGTCATTTACACTTTTTTGCAGTTTTTAAAATTCAGTTTCTCACAAGCATTTTTGCCTTGACTTTTCTTCTATTTCTGCTTTCTCTAATTACAGGAACCCCAGTGTTAAGTAGGTGACAGTTCCGTTGTTTGTTGCAGAAGAGCAACAGTTCAATATTAGAATTAACTTTTGTTTCATGTTTTTATCTGTTACTAATTTTTTACAGAATAATTTTAGTTTTTATAATCTGGTTGTTAATTATGTGTTTGAGCTGCATTACTTTGCAGTGTAAGTGTTTTTTGGTGTGGTCAAATAACAAAAATTCTGGTGAATGCTTATTTCATATTACAAGCGAATCCAGATATTTTCATTAGGGAAACGTATAAGCAGAGTGCGATCAGGCTGTATGAATTATTTATAAGAGATGTGAGTGAAAGGATCTATTTGTAGCTTAAGAGTAAGTAGAGTCAGATGCATGCGGAGTCTTTTATTCAAAATAATTTTCTTACTAATCTTGGGTAGTTTCTTGTCACAGTGATTCCATTTTGAAGATAATAAATATTACCATAAAGAAGTGATCCAAAACATAGATATGTGCCCAAAGGTATTTATCACAATAGTATTTATAATAGTGAAAAAAGAAACAACTAAAATGTTTGGCAATAGGAGAATGATTACTAAAGCAATGTTCCGGCTGAGTATAATGGCACGCGCCTGTAAGCCCAGCTACTCCGGAGGTTGACGCTGCAAGATTGCTTGAGCCCAGGAGTTCATGACCAGCCCAGGCAACATAGCAAGACCCTGTCTACAAACACACACACACACACAAACAAGTGCTATGTTTCAGTCACTGTATAATAACTAGCCAGTTTTTTGTTGTTGTTGTTCTGTTTTTGTTTTTGTTTTGAGAGAGTGTCTCACTTGCCCAGGCTGGAGCGCAGTAGTGAGATCACGGCTCACTGCACCCTGTAGAACCCTAACCCTCCTGGGCTGAAGCGATCCTCCTACCTCAGCCTCCTGAGTAGCTGGGACTACAGGTGTGTACCACCATACCCAGCTTTCTTTTTAAGAGATAGGGGTGTCACTCTGTTGCCCAGGCTGGTCAGAGTTTTTAATGAAGCAAATTTGTGTAGACAAAGCAGGATGTGGAACCAAATAAACACTATGTTGCCACTGAAGACCCCTTCAGACTCCTCAAAAATGACATAGAAGGGAAATATACGAGGTATTAGTTTAGGAAATAATTGTAACTTTATTAAGACTCCTTATAAATTTATCTGTTCCTATGACCTGGCTAAGTTCAATAAAAGTTACACAGAGTGGAATAAATGAATAAATCATTTGTAGTATAAGTAATTGCACATAAGGAGGTAACTTCTTTAGCTGTTTTAGATATAGACATAGTATCTGAAAGGTTATTTTGCTAGACCTGTGATTATATGGGTGAGAAAGGCTTTCCCCGAGATTTTACCCATTAGGTAAGTACTAATGATACTGTGCTGATAACATACATTAAGGGAATATATGGTATACCACAGAGGAAGAATTAAGGAAATTTTGTGTTTTGCTTTTTGTCTCTGTTTGCAGAACTTACTGACTCAGCTTTCATTCTTGGGAATGTCTCAGTTTTCTGTGGCAAGATACACATCGATGAGGAATTGATAATGTTCTTTGTATTTTCTTAGATGGAGATTGTAAAAAACTTACCTCAGAAATATTTGCAGAGATAGAGACCTGTCTGAATGAAGTTAGAGATGAAATTTTTATTAGCCTTCAACCCCAGCTTAGATGCACATTAGGTAAGTAATTGGTATAACTTGCTTGTATTATACTCATCTACCATGTAGAAATACGTACGTCATAAGGAAGTATAACACTGTTTGATTACCTTGGATGATCATCTTCTTGGGAGAGAGAATCTGAGTGGTCTGACTTAGGAATCTACCACTGGGTAGGTTATTGTAGGGCAGAGCCGTTCTATATAAATATGCAGGCTGGTGTTCCCCCTCTTGAGAGTGGGTGCTGTTCTCAGAACCAGGAGAATTTTAGGGGCATATCATTAGTTGCTTCTCTAGTACATTTCCTAGCAGACAGATCTAGCATTTTTAACCTCAATTGTGCATTAAAAAGCACCGAGGGAATTTAAAAGTAAATGCCAATGCTAGGGGCATTTGAATTAGAATCTCAGGGATGGGGCTCAGGAAATCAGTAATTTTTAGAAACCCCACATGATTGTTACATGTACACAGGGTTTAGAATCTCATCGAAACCAACCATAGTAATTCTGTTTCCCTACCATGGTTGCTTTAGGAATGGACATGTGGTACAGTTTTGGCCAGTGGATATTAAGAGAAATATGCTGATGGCATTTTGAGAAAGCTTTCTCGCCTTTAGAAAGGGCACAAGGATGGGACCTCTTTGTTCTCTGTGACTTGGTTTTTGGCCTGTGGGAGTGGTGTGCAGCAAGTGAGTTAGAGTGTCTGACCAAACCTTTCTAAATTTTTTTAGTATTACAGAAAGGAGCTGTGGGGTTTTTTGTTTGTTTTCGTCTTGAAAGGGCTTTTTGTTTTATTTTCCTTTTATCCTTGTATTAACTCTTCTAGTAATGTTAGAGTAGCAGAGTACGATACTCCCTCTTAGTAATTACCCATATTACGTAAAATATCAGTGCCTTCTAGTTTTTCTCTCAATGAGTGACATTTAACTTATATTAAAAAATGATTTTTATATTTTATAATAAAATCAGTTGTTGCAACTGATTTATCTAGCATGTACAAAAGACACCATGCTTCCAGATCATTATAAAATATGATATTTTATAATATATTGACAATATATTTATAACATATTTATATACTTATACAGCCGGGCACGGTGGCTCACGCCTGTAATCCCAGCACTTTGGGAGGCCGAGGCAGGCGGATCACAAGGTCAAGAGATCGAGACCATCCTGGCCAACATGGTGAAATCCGGTATCTACTAAAAATACAAAAATTAGCTGGGTGTGGTGGCATGTGCCTGTAGTCCCAGCTACTCAGGAGGCTGAGGCAGGAGAATCGCTTGAACCTGGGAGACAGGTTTCAGTGAGCCGAGATCGTACCACTGCACTCCAGCCTGGGGACAGAGTGAGACTCTGTCTCCAAAAAAAAAAATATATATATATATATAAATATATATATATACATTTATAATATATCTGGAAGCATGGCGTCTTTTGTACATGCTGGACAGCTTTTGACATATTTCTTTGACTCATGCTTCTGTCCCCTAATTTTCACTTTTTTCCTACATTTTATTAAAATTGATATATAATTACTGTATATCTGCTTTGTTTTTATGGACTTATACATATATGTTTATTCTGTTTTTATAAAAATCTGATTTTTCATATGCCAGATTTCTGACATTTCCTCCTCTAGGCCTAAAGAACTGTTCTAATTTATGTATCAGATAGACTCTGAGATGAAATGAATATTCTTTTTTCTTTATATCAAAGTGTAATTTACATATAGTGAGACCCTTTTTAAGCGTGTACAGCTCTGTAACCCTCACTACAGTCAAGATATAGGACTCTGTCACTCTAAAACTTTTCACCAGGCTCCTTGTGGTTAACCAGGTTCATCACCCCCAGCCACTGATCTGTTGAGCAAATACTCATTTCGAAGGAGCCTTTTCCATAAGATCCTAGAGTTTAGATGGAGGGGCTTTTGTGGTGCATTTAGCAGGTACCATTTCCCTTCTAGAGTCCCTACTTCAGTTCCCAGTTGAATTAAAGAATGGTTTCTCCCCCAGCCTGAATCACTACCCTTCTTATCCCAGATAATTATTTTTGGAATGAAGTTACATCTTTTGCTCCACCTCCGCCATGGGCCTGGTTTTCTATGTAACAGAAGGAATTTTTAAATTATTATTTTGTGTAATCATAATAATTGGGCAAGCATACAGCTCTTTCAATGCAGGAGGATTCCTCTCTTGTTTTACTGCCCATTCAAGGATAGGTGCTATATTTTAGCTGAAGATCTTACTAATTAAATATAACTTATTTAACCATGTGTTTTGAGCTCTTTCATGATATTTTAATTCACGGAGAACTTTATGTATTTTAGACCTAAAGATTTTATATTGTGATTATGAAATGTAAATTGTTTGCTTTTTCAATTAATATTTACTTACAATAGAATGCGGATTTAAAGGCTGGTAACGAATTACAAAATTGTGCTATAGGACATACTATTTATGCATACAGTGTTGCATATTTTCATTTCTGGGAGATTTATTTGTATTTCTACTTACAAAAAAACTTTTTAAAACTTGTTTTATGGCTGGGCCCAGTGGCTCACACCTGTATTCCCAGCACTTTGGGAGGCGGAGGCAGGTGGATCACCTGAGGTCAGGAGTTCAAGATCAGCCTGACTAACATGGTGAAACCCTGTCTCTACTAAAAATACAAAAAATTAGCCAGGCGTAGTGTAGGAGCCTGTAATCCCAGCTACCCCGGGGGGGCTGAGGCAGGAGAATTGCTGGAACCCAGGAGGCAGTGGTTGCGGTGAGGTGAGATCGCGCCACTGCACTCCAGCCTGAGCAACAAGTGCGAAACTCTGTCTCAAAATAAATAAATAAATAAATAATACAAACTTTTTTTATGTTTTTGTTCAAAAGTAGCAGTGAGACTGTCCCACAAAGGTGACTAAAATAGCCTTTGTAACTACCGATATTTATAGAATATGCTTAGGGTTAGGGTATAACTTGCTTGTATTATACTCATCTACCATGTAGAAATACGTACATCATAAGGAAGTATAACACTGTTTGATTACCTTGGATGGTCATCTTCTTGGGAGAAAGAATCTGAGCGGTCTGACTTAGGAATCTACCACTGGGTACGTTATTGTAGGGCAGAGGCGTTCCCTAGAAATATGCAGGCTGGTGTCCCACCTCTTGAGAGTGGGTGCAGTTCTCAGAACCAGGAGAATATTTAGGGGGCAAGTTGTTAGTTGCTTCTTTAGTACTTTTCCCAGTAGACACATCTACCATTTTTAACCTCAACTGTGCATTAAAAAGCACCAAGGGAATTTAAAAGTAAATACCAATCATAGGGACATTTGAATTAGAATCTCAGGGATGGGGCTCAGGAAATCAGTAATTTTTAGAAACCCCACATGATTGTTATTACTTAGGTAATAACACCTACTGTCTGCCTTGTGGTCCTGCCAAGGTGACTGTTCCAGGCAACTGTAGTTCCAGGCTAGGGGGAGAACTGGACCATGGAAGTGAGGCTCTGTCCAGGTTAGGGAAGGCATGGAAGGACTCAGTCTCTTGGGCCAAATCAGTAAGGGAGCATCTGAGCTCCTTGAGAATAGGAAGGAGAGAAACCAATTGGAAAAAAGAATGTAAGAGAAGCATGTAGATTCTGCTACTTAGCTTACTTTCCAGTCTCAAAGCTGAAAGCCAACATTCACTGTTCAGTTATTTTCAGTGACAAGATTCAAATCTTCAATTGTAAAGTTGTTAAAGGAAAGGATTAGACTGAAAAGTTAGGAAGAACGGTAGATGAAGAGTCCAAAGAGTTGAGGCTGGTCATTTAACCATTGTGTGGCCACGCCCTTTCCACAGGTGGAACAAGATGATCAGAATAGAAATGGCCAATTCTGGTGTGTTTCTACAGTGTTTCACTGGTTACATTTTTTTAACATCTGTGGCAAACCATTTCCATAATTTTTTTTCTTTTTTAAGAGACGGGTGTCGCTCTGTCACTCAGGCTGGTATGCAGCGGCATGATCATAGCTCACTGCAGCCTCAAATTCCTGGGTTCAAATGAGCCTCCTGCCTTAGCCTCCTGAGTAGCTTGGACTACAGGTGTGTGGCACCACTCTCAGCTAATTTATTTCATTTTATTTTTTGTAGAGACGGTGCCTCGCTATATTGGCTAGGCTGGTCTTGAACGTAATAGAAACTGGTTTTAGGTTCCTAGAGGCTGGCAGCAATTCTCGGAGGGAATGCAAGCAGTCCTCCTGCCTTGGCCTCCCAGTGTGCTGGGATTACAAGGTGTGAGCCACCACACCTCATCAATTTTTGTTTTAATATACTCTAAGGCTATTACAGTTCCGAGATCTTTTTTTTTTCCTGAGAAATCTAGAAAGATGGAAGACAGTATGGGTCTTTTGTGTGTTTTTTTTGTCTTAAGACATTTTCATAAATGTCTGCCAAGGAAAAGGAAAGAGATCGAAGTGTTAATTAAATATTTATGATGGACATTTTTAGAGAAATGCTTTATAAACTTCCCCTCTCCCAGCTCTGGGTGACTTATTCTGTCATACTGTATTAACACATATTCATGCTGTAAATATAGTAAGAAAAGATAGTAGTTCACAATTTTGGTTTAATTTTTGCCATTATTGATTATGAGCAGTAATTTTTCCTTTTCTTTTTAAAGGTGATATGGAAAGCCCTGTGTTTGCATTTCCCCTGCTCTTAAAACTAGAACCCCACATTGAGAAGCTCTTCCTATATTCTTTTTCTTGGGACTTCGAATGTTCGCAGTGTGGACACCAATATCAAAACAGGTTAGTTTCTTTTGTTTTTTAAAATGAGTCCTTCTAGTTTCTCCACCACTGAGGTTAAGAGAACAATTTGAGCACCAGACACTGCAGTTTGATTGCTTCTTTAAACTGGAAGGGTCAGAACCTCATGGTTTGATAGACTGGTAGTAGGAGATTTCTTAAGGAGTTCTTCAGTGGGAAATAGGGACGATGAGAGGAATAGTACACCTCCCTTCTCCAGAGTCCTTGCTGAGTAAGAATACCTCTCAGAATGCCTTGAAACTATAGGCATTTTTGTTTATTCCTCTATTAAGAGTTGAGGGGTTTTGCTTGTTTACTTTAGGTTTCTAACATTATAGACACTGGTTTTAGACTCTTGGTGGCTAGCAGCAATTCTCAGAGGTAATGCAAGCTTCCTCATTTCTTCCCATAGTCCTGTGAAAGACCAACCACCTCCAGAAGCCTTACACGTGAACTGTCTCAGC